CCCCCCCCCGCCTCTGTCGGATTAGGGTTAATGATAATAAAACTTGATTATTTGCGTATTAATGCCTATACAAAATAAAAAAGCCTAAAAGGCCGTTGTCGTTTTAAAGTCGATGACTTTATTCAAAAGATGTAGATATGATAAAAATGCAAAGTTGGTTTAAACTGTTAAAAACAATGCATATTTCTTATAAAAACAGGGTGTCCAAAATAGTTAATGATTTGGAGGAGCGCAAAAAAATGAAATGCAAAAATGTACAAATTAATTATTTTAGATAAAAGCAACTGAATATTTTTCTGAAGGTTGAATTAGGTAATAATAAAATGTTAAAGGTTTTGTGCACATCTATACCTATACCAGTAAGGCAGACAGCTGCTTGTTTTTCAAGCATATCTAGGCCTATCTACCGGCTTGCTTGGTAAGAATTCTTACAAGTATCAACTGCCTGAATTTAAATGCCAGTTAAGTGACTAATATGCATGTTATTACGGTTATACTAAAGACCAAAATTTATCTAAGTTTTTTTTTCGATTCGTGCCAATATACGTTTTCAATGGAAATTTATTTCCAAAAATGTTTTACTTCTTACTAAGATTAAATTAAATAGTATAAACAATTGAAAACAAAAGATTATTATAAGATTGGAAACAAGACGGGTTCTTTAAGTTTTTTTTAGATAGATATACATAAATCTATAACTAAATTATTTTCTAAGCTTTTAAATGTGTACTTAGTCTATTTTTCTTATTTGAAAAATCCGAATTCTTCTTATAAACATTTTGAAAATTATAAAGTTGTGTATTTATTGATCCTAAACTTGTAATCTGACACTTGTGCATTGAGCGTTAATAAACGATCTATTATCTATCTGTAAATAGATATAAATCTATATCTATATTTAATATATACTATATCCTATATATATTAGGCTTCCAGAGCGCTTCTCGCCCAACTTCGATTTTTACGTTTTACTGTTGCTTTATCCGTGACATTTTTTTAAGATACTATTCATATTCATAATTTTATTTAACTACAAAGCACGAGATGAAACAAATAAAAAATCACAATTTACTATGGAGTTTGGACCCGCCTAACCAGAGTTGGTTTTTTGATTGGTTGGCCCATAATAAGCGAATAAGAATTGTAAATAAATAGATGGATGTACACTTTACAGTGTACATTTTAAACAAAACAATGATGATAAATCATGAATAAGGTAAGGAGGGGGTAAAAAATTATAAGGGAAAGGGTGGGTATTCAGCGGGATGGTTGTAACAGAGGGTAACATATATTATTAGAATCATGTTTATGAACTACAGGGTGAAGAAGATAGCAAAGACTAAGTTTATCCACATGAAAAACTTGGGAAAGAAACTGACTCTGGAAGAAAACTGACTCTGGAAAGAATCTGACTATGGAAAGAAACTGAATTTGAAGAGAAACTGACTCTGGAGGGAAACTGACTTTGGAAAGAAACTAACTCCTGAAAGAAAGCTGACTCTGGAAAAAAAACAGACTCTGGAAAGAAAGCTGACTATGGAAAGAAAGCTGACTCTGGAAAGAAAGCTGACAATGGAAAGAAAGCTGACTCTGGAAAGAAAGCTGACTATGGAAAGAAACTGACTATGGAAAGAAAGCTGACTATGGAAAGAAACTAACTCTGGAAAGAAAGCTGACTCTGGAAAGAAACTGACTCTGGAAAGAAACTAACTCTGGAAAGAAAGCTGACTCTGGAAAGAAAGCTGACTATGGAAAGAAAGCTGACTNACTCGAGGTAAATGCGAACATTTCATGAGGGACGAAAACATGAGATATCCTTAGGTCAACACATAAAAATGAGATATTTCATCTCTCTGTAGGCGAACTTGATTCTAGATAAACCATGTTATTTATTTATAAAAATAAGATATTATTATTACACTATTAATATACTATTATATACTATTATACTAGTATTAGTTTATTAAAAAAGATATTTCATCTCTGTAGGCGAACTCTGTGAGCATCTTCTCTTTGTACAATAAAAAACAAGAACAAAAATAATTTGCGGATTTCCTAATATTTTTTCGCACATTTTAAAAATTTTACAAAATAAAAAATTTTGGAACACAAATTTTGTAATTTTGAGCATCCATAAACCTTCCCCGGGGTTATTTGAGGTCTTAAGCAAAATTTGGTCCTGATCGGATAGACATATATGTATAGATGAAATGATTTTTAAAAATAATGTGCGTTTAATTTAATTATTCTCATTGGTAATTTTTTAATTGTAATTTGTAATCAAGAAAATAGGAACACAGAATTTTGACCACTCTTAGACGGTTATCAGGGCCCCTCTGTCTTTCTGTCAAAACCTTACAAAAATAGGGTTTCTTATGAAAGGTTAATTATTTTTTAAAAGAGACAAAATGAAAAAACATTTGTGAATCGAAAAAGAAATAGACATTGTTTTTTTGACAGACTTTTTGACAAATGGCCCTTAGTACCATCTTTAGAAGTCAAGAAGGCTGTGTTTTAAATTCAGAAAATAGGAAATATAAGACACATTTTTAAATAGGCGAACCATCTTTTTACGCGTTAAAAATTAAACAAAGCGCACTTCCCCTTTACACATTATCAAGCCACAAAAGATTGATTAATTTATTTTAATAATTAGATTAGATTACAATTCTACAGTACACTACAGATACACAACCAGAGTTCCCTAATTAAATCCTAATAATTAATATTTTAGAAATTATAAACATAAACAATAATTATCCGTAGAGGTAGAAACATACATCATCTACCCCCCCCCC